CATACCTGCACTGAACGACTATTGGTGAATTCCCACTCTTTTGCTGTGACTTTTGTACTTCATGAAGCAGCGTCAATACACTCTGTGGATTTGTTGGAACGCATTCGTTTTCCCAAGTCAAGTGCTGGAAGTGATTTACTGTGAGTTGTTTCTAGAATAAAAAAGTTAAAAGTATATATATCATGGAAAAGAGAGAGATTGGGACAACTTCTATTCTCTTCCTTACATCACGGGGACACCAAAAACAAACGAGTTAGCCATAAGATTAGAGTCACCCTACCACTGTTATTGTTTGATTTACGAGTACAATAAGGTTCATGAGTTTCTTCGCTTACCTTTCGGTTCGAGACTTTAAGAATTCTTAGAATGATGTTGCCAGCAAGATGCTTAGTTTCTACCAAACGAACCTTGATGCTGTCATAGGTTTTAGCTTCATGTARCGGCCAGTACTGAGGAAACACCTTTATAAAACACGGAAAAAATACGATTACTAGTTTAATTTCTAAAATATTCATTAAATACATCGAATACAGTATAATYTAACAAAGAAGAAAAAGCTTTCCTAATTAATGCTACTAGCAAGGCCGACTGATATTTTTTAAATTGTATTTTGAAACTCAAGTAAGTAACATTAATTACATAAAAGATGCAAAAATCTGACAAGTAAATCGTTTTTTTCTTTTAACCAGTTTAACGTTGTATGCACAAGTTTGTTGAGAGACAAAGCGTGAAGAAGATTTTGACTTACGCCATCGCGTGCCAATAGTATTCCACGTTCCCACGGGTCGTTGTGAGAACTGAGTATAATAGGCCTAGGCCTCCTTCTGCTTTCAAAACGAACCCTTATCTATGGCATTGATCCATACATATGTCGCTGACGTGCAGTCATTTGAACTCAGTCTTACCTCACGTTCTTCTTCCGAATTGTTCAGCATGACGATGGTTCCGATCTTGTAGTCCATAACCATTCTCCAGAAATCTGCTATCGTGTTTTCCATGGGAGCTTGTGTCATTATAAAAGCATTATGTTCCCTGTAAGTCTTAAAAATAGCGATGTGCACAATTTAAAAATGTTCGTGGAGTTCACGGTAGCTTCTTATTTACGTGAAGGTTTGCTTCCTAAACACTTACATCCACAAATGAAGCATTGATGTAGTCCCCCTTGCGTTCCTTGTAAGCCTATGCAGAAATTCAACAAGCGTTTTATTAGCGCAAACATAGCTTTTTTTCTAGTTTCTCTTCATGACAGAGTTGAAAATTATACTAACCTCGATAACTGAAGAATTGATGTAGTCTCCGATCTCGGTATCGTTCTCTGTACTGAGAATCACCCGATTTCCATTTGCTGTAAATGTTAATGACAAAGA